TAACATTAAGACCTATCGCAGCAGGGCAGGAACCCAGAGTCTAGATAGTCTGCTGGCAGGGCGTCTGGCTCCCAGATGCTGTGTCTGGCTGTCTGTCCATGTGTGTCTGTGGGTCTCTGTACTTTCCATGTTTGCCAGGTCCCTTCATTTCTCAAGTTGGCACCCTGTGGTACACTGATCTGTCCCCAGTTCCATCCGCACCGCCCCGTCTGAGGACTGTCCACAGGTTTTGCAGCCCCTTTCCCACCAGCTGGGCCTGGCCTGTCCCTGCAAGCCCTCTGCTCCCAGCCAGGCTTCCGAAGAAGGGAGGAGGCCTGGTTCCGGCCCCCACTGCCCTCACGTGCTTTCCCAGCCAACCCCTCCCGCCCAGCGTCGGGGCAGCCAAGCCTGTTCCTCTTCCCGATTGCATTGCGACAGCAGCCCTCAGCTCCCAGCTCTCCCTGTCCCCGCCCAGCGGCTGGCTCTCTCCACTCCCACTTCCTGAGCCGGCTGCTAGAGCCCCGGAGGCCAGGCCAGGCCGCGGCGGGGCCCCTGGGGGGGCGCTTCGGCCCTGCGTCCAGCCCCAGCCCTTGGGCTCCGGAGACTTTGTCACCATTGCCCAGGGTATCCAGGGCCCCCATCTTCCTCCCCGACACCTCCACCCATCTGACTGACTGGCCGCCATGCGCCTGCCCGGGGCCGCCGCCTCTCCCTGCGGCCTGGCCTGGGGGCTACTGGTCCTGGGCCTCTGCAGTCTGGCAGCAGCATCCCCAACCCTGCTGGTGAGGAAGGGGCGGTGCAGAGAGGGGGGTAGGGGTGGGCTGGGGCAGGGAAGAGGGTCTGGGTAGCCCTCCGGAGTCCTTTTGCCCTTCCATGCTGAATAAGCTCTGAATAATTCTCACCCTGCGACCGTCTCCCCCTCAAGGTGCCCCCATACCACACGGAGAACCGAACCTGCCAGGACCCAGAAAAGGAGTACTACATGCCCAAACACCAGGTCTGCTGCTCCCGCTGCAAACCAGGTTAGAGGCACAGGCTAGAGGAAACCGGGCCAGGGGGAAGGGGTGCCAGGGCAGGGGCACCAGGCCCCCCGCATGCCCCCGGGCCAGCTCCCAGACAGCGAGTGAGGAGCACTGGCTGTCCCTCGCGTGTCCGCCGCTCTGGGAGGAGCAGGGTCACACAGCAGGCGGCAGAGCGGAGGGTGGAACCAGCCTCCTGACACCCTCTGCCGGTTCACGTCACAGGCATGTATGTCTCCTTCGAGTGTAACCTCGACCAGGACACAGTTTGCACCGTGTGCCCTGAAAATTCCTACAACGAGCACTGGAACCACCTCTTCATCTGCCAGATGTGCCGGCCCTGTGATCACGGTGAGTGGGGCACGCGGGGGAGGCCTGGAGTCTCAGGAGCGCAGCCCCCCACTGAGCTTTCCAGTCTCCCCCCCAGTGCTGGGCTTCCAGGAGGTCCTGCCTTGCACCAGCAAACAAAAAACCCAGTGCCGCTGCCAGCCAGGAATGACCTGCTCTTTCCAGAACCTTGAGTGTACACACTGCGAGCCGCTTCCAGACTGCGAACCCGGCACTGAAATCGACCTGAGAGGTCAGAGGCTGCTGAGGGGCAGAGAGGGCTCTTGACGGAGGGTGGGGGGCATGGTACTGCATCCTTGGTTCCTCTCAGACCTTGTGACTCTCTCAGAAAGGATGGGCGAGGGGATGACTCGATTTGGGACAGATGAGGGGCTCCTCTCTGCACGAGGGAAGCCAGGATCAAGGGGAGAGGGGGAAGGATGAGAGCCCCAGAAGCTCACCAAGGGGCAAAGGACCCCTCTGCCTACGCACCCTGGCTCACCTCATTTTTTTTTGCCAGATGATGGGGAAGCTACTGGCTACTGTGTAGCCTGTAAGGCTGGATACTTCCAGAATACCACCTCCTCCAGTGCTCGCTGCAGGCCCCACACCAGGTCAGTGCGCGCCGACCCCAGCCCCTCCCACTGCGGACAGCCCGCTCCCACGTGCTTGCTCCCTGGCCAGCGCTGGTCACCTCCAGCCCCACTCAAGCTGGGTTCCCTCTGCTCCACAGATGTGAGGACCAGGGCATGGTGGAGGCAGCCCCAGGCACCCCCCTGTCTGACGTCAGCTGCAGAAATGCACCAGAACCACCTGATGTGACAGGTGAGCGGCCAGGGCCGAGGGGCTCATCTGGGGACATGCTTTAACGCCACCCATCTCAAAATCTTCCTTCCATCTCAGAATCGGAGTAAGAGAGGAAAAGTTCCTCGAAGAGAAATGCTAGTTGACTTACACACACGCGCGTCTTCATTACTCACACACAACATGGGTAACACTCCACACCAAGGTGTGATGTGGCTGACATCGCTGTCCCCGTTCTGGACAGGCCACCTTCATGTCCTCCCTGTACCTGGCTGAATGCCGCTGCATCAGACGACACACTCTGTCCTTAAAAGATGGTTCCACATTTGCTGCTTTCTTTTTGTCTTTTCTAGAGGTGTTATTGTTTTCCTTACCTAACAGACAATGATAGGATACTTAGAATATGGCACTTATTATTCATCACAGCACACTCTATGATATTATCTTTTTCAATGGCCAAATACTTATAATCATAGCTTCCATTTATTGAGAGCTAGTGTGTCATACACTCTGTGAACACTTTGCCAACACTAACTTATTTAATCCTCTTACTCAGTATTAGTATAACAAAGGCATCTCCATTAAAAGGGAGGCTTTCCCTGTCCCATCTAATAAGGGGTGGAGCTGAGCGGCCAGGTTCTGGGGTACCCCTCAGTCTGCCCACTAACATTAAGACCTATCTCACATTTGTCTTACTCCAAACCCTATGCCACAATGCATGTGCCTTAAACATCAGAAAATTCAGATAAGCAAACAAATCACAGAACTTTCACCGGCTGCATCCATTCTTAACATCTTTTAATAAAACCCTGGACATTTTTCTCTGCATCAAAGCCCATACCTATGATTTTTTTCCCCTAAAAATGAAGCCATTTAAATATGTGATAACCTGATTTTTCATCCTCCTATATCATTCTTTCCCATGTCCTCGCTAATTTAATTCACGATAAGTGACATTTTAGGAGGCAGGAGAAGGAACACCCTCACTTTATATATAAGAAAACTGAAGAGGTGAAATGATTTAAAAAATCACCTGGCAAGAAAATAATGATAACAATGAACAGCTATATACAGAGACATTTTACGGGGGTAGAGTGGGGAATGGGATCAAAAACAGTGGGGGGAGGGAAATGCACCGGACTATGGTGATGGCACACGGGTGATTTGGTGATGGGAAACCCAAGGGGATTGCAACTGAGATGGAAAAATGCGCAAAACGACGTAAAAATAAACTACTATAAAATTTTTTAAAAAAATCACCTGGGCAGGAGCCCAGGTGTCGAAGACTCCAGGTTCCTGCCATGCCTCCGCTTCTGCGCTCCCATCAGCCACAGAGTCAGGTGCAAACCTCCCAGGAGGCGCAGGTCCAAGTCCACCTGGCTCTCTTCCGGCATGGTCAGTGGTCGATGGACACTGTGGACCCCTTGCAATTGATGAGCCGGAGACCCATGGAAGGACAGAAGTGACCCATCTAGACACACAGGAGTTTCTTTCCCTCCCCTCCTGGAACCTGCCCTGAGCAACCCCCACTCTCCCAGGCAGCCAAAACAGAGCTCAGAAGCAAGACTCCCCGTAGACACCCTGAGACTCCCTGCAGCCATCCTCACAGGCGAAGGGGCAATCCCAGCTCTTACCACCGCCTCTCTGTAAGGCGGTCAAGTCCACAGAAGTGTGGCTCTCCTGTGGCCTGAGTCGCCTGAGGCAAGTGTCTCTAGGTTTGCCCCAAGGGACTGCAGTAGGATGAGTGGGGAAAGCTGCTGGAGAGCTGGACCCTAACTTCCTTGCCTGTGGCCCCTCTCGCGCGCCTCCCGTCTCTGCCCTGGCAGGAACCATGCTGCTGCTGGCCATCCTGCTGCCCCTGGTGTCCTTCATGCTGCTCACCATTCTCCTCACCTGCGTCTGGAAGAGCCACCCCTCTCTCTGCAGAAAGCTGGGTAGGAGCAGGGGGCCCTCTGTCCCTCCCTGGGTGGGGGTGTAGCGGAGGGAGGGGGTACTCACCTTCCTCGGTGCCAACCCTTCTGCCCCTCCGCACCCTCGGGGTCTCCATGCTCGTCCCCAACACAGACATCATCCCCATCCAGCTCCCCATTCTGAGGCTGGAGATAAGGGTAATGAGAGCCTGTTCCTTTGGGAAACCCCTGTTGGGAAGCAAACCATGCTGGGGGGGGGTGGTGAAGGCCAGGGAAATGCGGGTTGACCTGGCAGGTCGGGAGGCCCTACACCCATTGCCTTTCCATTGCAGGATCTCTGCTCAAGAGGCATCCAGAGGTAACGGGAAGGCGGGAAGCAGCCAGGAGGGGGAGAGGAGAGGCAGGCAAGGTGGGGGAGGCCAGGAAAGTGTGTGCAGGCTTCGACATTCATGAATGCATTCAGCTCATTGTCACGGAGCCGACCACATGCCAGACACTGTGCAAGACAGCAGTGAGCAAAACGACGTCTCTACGTACAAATATATACGTGCATACAAACATGTGTCAAATGGTGACCGTTGCTAAGTAAAGCAGATTAAGGGGGCAGTGACTGATGGCGGAACACGATGGAGTTAGACAGAATGGGTCTCTGATGCGCTGATACCTGAGCAGAAAACTGAAGAAATGAGGGAGCCAGCCATAGAGATTTCTGGGGAAAGTGCTCCAAGAGCTGGAACCTCAGGTGCAAAGCCCCTGAGGCAGATAGCATGGTGAGGAGCAGAGTAGAGGGAAGAGCTGCCTAAGCATGCAGCGGGTGTGGGAACTGAAGAAAGTTGAGTCTGAGACCCACTGCTCTCTCCTACCAGCAGCGGGTGGAAGTGAATGCTGCTGACGGAAACTGGGAGCCTCCCCGAGTCAACCCACACTTCCCTGACCTGGTAGAGCCATTGCTGCCCCTCTCCGGAGACTTGTCCCTGGCCTTGACTGGGCACCCAGCAGCCTCGGTTGTGGAGAAGGAAGTGCTACAACAGCAAAGCCCTCTGGTCCAGGCCGTGGAGCTGGAGGCTGAACTCCCAGAGCAAAGCCAACTGGCCCACGGTAAGCTGGGCAGATGGGGGGGGGGGGAGGCAGGGCAGGGAGAGGAGGTGCTGGGCAGGGAAAGGGCGTGAGCCAGACAGAAGCCAAAAGACCAAAACAGGCCAGACCGAGACTCCAGACAGCTAGCTAGGGCATCACAGGCACGGGAGGAAGAGACGAAAAAGCTAGAAGCAAAGAGGAAGCTGGAATGCCAGAAACCGATAGCAAATGGGAGCAGGGACAAAGATCAGGAGGGCTGATGTTGGGGGCACACAGGCTTCTTTCCTCAGCAGTGTCCCTCGACGCCTCTCACTCTGCCGCCCCCCCTCCCCCCAGGTACAAATGGCATCCACGTCACCGGCGGGTCTGTGACTGTCACTGGCAACATCTACATCTACAATGGGCCAGTCCTGGGGGGAGCCCGGGGCCCTGGTGACCCCCCAGCTGCCCCGGAGCCTCAGTACCCCATCCCGGAAGAGGGTGCTCCTGGCCCTCCAGGGCTCTCTACACCCTACCAGGAAGATGGTAAAGCTTGGCACCTGGCGGAGACAGAAACCTTGGGGTGCCACGCTCTCTAACAGGACCAAAGACCCAGTTCGTCACCCATGTCTGCGGTGTCTGGGAAAAGCCAGAAGAGAGGGTCAAGAGCACCCTCTCCCCAGCCTGCCCCCCCCACACAGGATTGACAGAGGACCTGGGTAGGGCTGAAGGCAGAGCTCCAGGGGCCAGGCCTCTGACACCTCTCTGAGAACAAGACTGGCACTGACTGGGGCAAAGAAGGACTCAGCAAGGCAGAGACTTCGCGGCAGATGCCCCTGCCTGCTGGGCTGTGCCAGCTCCGCTTCAGGCACAGGTGGGGCCTGTGGCCCTGACTGCGCCCCACCGGCTCTCTGCACCCCAAGCCCGCCACAGAAGGGAGCCCGCCACATGGTCCCTTGTGAGGACATCGCTGGGAAACTCTAAGGGATTCTGGTGCTCATCCCAAGCTTTGGAGGCCCTCGCGGGCCCACGTTTTCTATGGACTGAGGAAGACCCTCTCTGGAGTTGTCACTGTGTGAAGAAGCCCCACCCCCACCCCTCCTTTCCCAGGGAAGAAAGGGTTTCTTGAAAGACTGGGAGTTTGGTTTGGGTTTCTAGGGATAAGCGAGAGTTCTGGAGAGGAGGAAAATAGTAAGTGTATTTATCAACTGTAACCACATGCAAATAAAGAAGAGATTGAGAACTAGATTATTTTCTTGGGATTTAGATAGAAAGGCTATTCCATGGGGACAGTGCCTAAAGTCAGAACATTATAATGTAACCCCCACATAGGTATTATTTTTAATAATAGTTTGTTTTTACATCATTTTGTGCCTTTTCCATCTCAGCTGTAATCCCTGTGGGTTTCCCATCACCAAATCACCCGTGTGCCATCACCATAGTCCAGTGCACTTCCCCCCACCATTTTTTTTAAATTTTATAACAGTTTATTTTTACATCATTTTGTATATATTGTATATATATTTTTCCTTCTCAATTGTAATCCCTGCGCGTTTCCCATCACCAAGTCACCCGTGTGCCATCACCATAGTCCCGTGCATTCCCCCCCCCATTTTTGATCCCATTCCCCACTCCACCCCCGCAAAATGTCTCTGGTATATGGTTGTTCATTATTTTTGTTATTTTCTCGCCTGGTCCATTATCCTGTATTTTTCTTTCTCTTTCTGGCTTATCTCACCAAGCATGATCTTTTCCAGCTCCATCAATGCTGCTGCAAAAGACATGTGTTTCTCTTTTTTGGTTGCTGAGTAATATTCTATTGTATATATGTACCCCCTCATTTTTGATCCCATTCCCCACTACACCCCCGTAAAATGTCTCTGGTTTATATGTTCTCTATTACTATTATTTGCTCCTTGGTCCTTTATACTACTGCTATGAGTGTACCATAGAATCCGGTATTTTTCCATTTCTTTCTGGCTTATTTCACTAAGCACGATCCCTTCCAGTTCCGCCCATGTTGTTGAAAAAGGCATGTGTTTATCTTTTTTGATTGCTGAGTAATATTCCATTGCCCACACAGGTGTTTTTTATGTGGACTGAAGCTGTAATTCAGGTGATAATACTAGCCAGGAATCTCTAGCAACACCCAGAAGGTGCTCTGAATGCCTCACAGATTTAACTGTGACAGGACCCCAGGGGGTCGATACAGTTGCTATTTTGGCTTAACAAGGGAGGAAACTGAGGCCCAGCAAGAGTAACTTGCCCAATGCTGCTTCGAATAGCAAGGCTGGGATCTGCACCCACGGAGGCCAGCTACAGTGGTATCTGGCGAGAACATCACCTGTCGCTCCCCACAGAAGGTCTGAATGGGTGCCCTGGCTGGCTTCTTCTGGTAGCCAGGCCTCCAGCATGGAGCCTCCACCAGCTCCAAGCCCCAGCCAGGCTGGAGTTCAGCCACCATCTGTGGGAGGCCAAGGCCACATCTGCTAGTGAGCAGAGGTCCAGGCCCAACGCCCCACTCAGAAGGAGCACTTGGGCATTTTTACTTTGTTTCTTCTTGCCTATTTTATTCCCCTTTCCCCTAAAAAAAATAAATAATAAGAAGAAAACACACACACGCACGCACACACACACAAATCTCCCAGACACGCTCAGGAGTCAACGTTTGGGACCGTGAAGAATTTTTCAACTATCCTGCTCACTGGAGGCTGCCTGGGCTTGAAGGATTGGGAGGGAGCTGCCACCCGCTGGCTGCTCCTTCCATAAAAGGCCACCCTTTGGGTCTAAAGTCAAGCACTCCATCGCTGGGGCTCATCAGGAAGGTGTGGCCACAAAACACAGACCCGGGAGTCTGATCCAGCTCGGTGCTGGGTTATTTAAGGCTGACAGTGACCATGTTGAGGCAACTTCCTTTTCTGAGAATTAAACACTGGTGAGTTCTAGCTCCTCACAGAGTTAAATCCTCCTGCTCTGCAGTGTGGATCCTTAATAAGGGTCCAATAATGTTTAGATTTTTTTAATGGACACATTGTTTAATGAAATTTTAAAAAGAAAAATGCTAAAACCAACGCCTGAACGCTGTATAGATCTGAGGCATTCAGAGGGGAGGGCGAGGGAGGGATGAAGTGTGGAGGGAGCTATTTTGCACCGTGGTGGGGGGCAACGGGGGCCACACCTGAGGGGAGGCATCCTGAACTGTCAAAA